AGATAGATAGATAGATAGATAGATAGATAGATAGATAGATAGATAGATAGATAGATAGATAGATAGGCAAAAATATGTGCCCATAAATGTAACCTGATATATCCATTTAGTGTTGTGTGTACACATATATTTTCAGGGTTGACCACTTGATATTGGATCACCAGTTAGGGACTTCACCACTGTGGAAGATTAATTCTCCCTATCCCAGTAGTTAGACATTGCATGTAGCTCTGGTCAAGGTTAGGTCCAATGAAATTTTTCCACTTCTACATTAGCATGTCTATTACTGTTGTCTTTGGGTTTTGTTTAGGCGACCAAATTGTTAAATTATGGAAGTAGTTTCCCTTTTATTTCTAGAAGACACATTTTATAGCTGACTCCTTGATTTAATGGCTCTCCCTGACCCTCTTCCATAATATACTCTGATCCTTAGCTGTAAGGATTGAGCTATAGATGTGCCAACTGGACCTGGGGATCCATGTTCAATGCATTTTGACTAGTTGTTGATTTCTGTGCTGATTTCTATCTGTTGCAAAGTTAATCTTCTTTGAAGTACACTTATTTCTATACACACACACACACACATAAACATGTATGTAATGAAGTTCGCAATTATAATAGTTCAATTAAGTGGCATTAGTAAGTTCTATAAGATTGATGACCTCACTATCTCACAATAGTTGGCTATAATTCAGGTTCCAGGCATAGGACCCATCCATCCTGGTAAGCATCCTAAAGTCTAATTAGAGAACTGTTGGTAACCTCTAAGTTATGAATGTCACTATTACACCTTTACATATTTCTTGCTTTGCTGGTCATTTTTCTGATTTATAGGCATCCCAGGTATATAGGTAGAGGTTGTCTTTCTTCCTTGGCAGATTGTAAAACATTTTCATATACTATGAAAGCAAATCCTGAAGGTGGAAGCTTTCCAATTAGATCCAGCTGGATTCCTGTGTCCAAACTACATTGTGTCTGTAAAATAGGGACTTACATTCAATTTCTAGGAGGAAACCATGGAGAGTAGCAGTATCTACCTTTTTTAGAGTGTCTCTTGGAATCCTCTGAACAAAAACAGCATAGGAGGTTTCTCTTGTTTAGCACTGAGGTTTTTCTTAGTCTATAGTTCTTAGAGATGGAGAATAATATTACCTCTATGTATCACACCTTCATTTAAACATTCCTATAAAGAAATGCTACATCATTGTTTGGACTAAAGTCATGTATTCTAATGGAAGCCCATGGTTTCTTTCTTGACTGGATAATAATTATTCTGTTTTATCACAGGCATCTCAAATGTAAATGACTGCTGAAAGTAATGGGGCAAAAAATTATATGTGACTTTAACTAGGAGAATGAGCTAAGAACTGATAAGTCCTACAGGGATGGAAAGTGCATACCCACACTTGTGTCTTTATGTGCACTGTGGGGAACCATTTTGAAATTCTGCTTGAATCCAGAGCTTACATAGAATTGATACTGTAGCCCATAACCTTTTATATAATATTTCAAATGAAGAGTTACAGACTATTCTGTTTCCTATAAATTGTGCTACCTGATGAAAATTACAATAGATTGAAATATTTGTGTCCAACTCCAATCTTCAAGCACATGTTAATACAGAAAAAAGTGACAAGGAGAACATTTTTACCTACAAGTCTACTTAAGAGCCACCAATGGCCTCACTTATAGTTGGTAATTGCCAACAATTGTTGAAAGTACTGTGATTTTGCAGTCATTGTTTAATAGAAAGCAACAGAATTGATTAAGTGTGTTTATTTGAATATGAGAACATTTGTCATGTTGTAATTTACAAATGATCAACATGTTTTCTCTGCACTAGAAGGTTAAAAATATCACATACTCTAATTATACAGATCTTTGTGATGGAGCTAAGAACATCTATTATTGCTTTAGATTTAAAATTATGTTATAATCTTAAAATATCATGTAAGGCTATATTTCCTTTGTGTGATGACTTTGTTGTTTCATATTCTATTGTTCTTTTAGTGATCATTTTATATGCATATATATTAATATATATATATATGTATATACACATATACATAATACATATGTACATTTATATATTATATATGTATATATTTATGTATATATTGCATTAGTTTCTTCACACACTTTCCGTTGCGTGCCAAGAATACTTTTTGAATAACAATCTTTCTAATATTGACAATGCTTATATTAGAACATGTCTTGATTTGCATTTCCCTGACGACTAAGATTCCATCTCACACCAGTCAGAATGGCTAAGATTAAAAACTCAGGTGATAGTAGATGCTGGCGAGGGTGTGGAGAAAGAGGAACACTCCTCCATTGTTGGTGGGACTGCAAGATGGTGCAACCACTTTGGAAATCAGTCTGGCGGTTCCTCAGAAAATTGGACATAGCATTACCTGAGGATCCAGCTATACCACTCCTAGGCATATACCCAGAAGATGCTCGAACATATAACAAGGACATATGCTCAACTATGTTCATAGCAGTCTTATTTATAATAGCCAGAAGCTGGAAAGAACCCAGATGTCCTTCAACTGAGGAATGGATTCAAAAAATGTGGTATATTTACACAATGGAGTATTACTCAGCTATTAAAAACAATGAATTCGAGAGGTTCCTAGGTAAATGGATGGAACTAGAAATTATCATCCTGAGTGAGGTAAGCCAATCACAAAAGAACACACATGGTATTCACTCACTGATTATTGGATATTAGCCCAGAACCTTGAAATGCCCAAGATGCAACTCACAGGCCACATGAAGCCCATAAAGAAGGAAGACCAAGTGGGGGTGATTCGATCCTTCTTAGAAGAAGCAACAAAATACTCAAGGGAGCAAATATGGAGACAAAGTGAGGGACAGAAACTGAAGGAGGGGCTGTCTCAAGACCACTCCACCTGAGTATTTATCCCATGTGCAATCACCAAAGGTAGATGCTGATGATGTGGAAGTCAGGAAGTGCATGCTGATAAGAGCTGATATGGATATCTCCTCAGAGGTCTTCAAGAGTCTGACATACTCAGAGGCATATGCTCACAACTAGCCATTGAACTGATCATGGGGTTCTCAATAGAGGAGTTAGAGTGAAGACTGAAGGAGAGCTGAAAGGATTTGCGGCACCATGAGGAGAGCAACAATACCAACCAACCACAGCTCCCAGGGTCTAAACCACCAGCCTGGAAGCACTTAGGGAGGGATCCAGCGCTTCAGTTGAATATGTAAGAATGGAGGGCCCTGCTGGGCATAGGTGGAAGAAGAGAACCTTGACCTCATGAAGGCTGGATGCCCCAGGGGGTGGGAATTTTGAGGGTGGGGAGGTGGGAGTGGGGGGGGTAGATAGAAGTTACATCCACAGAGAAGAAGGAGGAGGGGTGAGGGGATTGGGGGTTCCTGGGTGGGTGGGGGATGGGGTAAGGGGACAACATAGGAAATGTAAATAAAGCATCCAATAAAAATTTAAAAAAACAAAAAACAAAAAAACAACAAAAACAAACAAACAAAAAAAAATAAAAAAAAAGAACATGTCTTAATTTCTGCTCTGCTACTATAATGTCCATCTGAGTACTTTATTTAAAAAAAACTTTCTCACAATCCTTGGTACTAGAAAATTCATTCTAGGTCCATTGTAACACAGTGAAGGAACACAAAGAAAACCACACTTTCATAACAAAGTCAATTCTACGAATGATATACCTACTCCTAAAATAAAGGAATTGATTAATTTTGTGACATCAAAATTAATAATCAAGCAAAGTGATTCCCTAATGATTTTCCATGCCTGAGATACACTAGACTGTAGCCGGCCAGAGGCCACTAGTCAACCGGGTTCACCTGAAAGTGGTCTGGGAACAAATAGGACGAGAAGAGATGAAGCCAAGACAAAGTTCTCTGATCAAGGCTCAATTGTTTAATGTTCAGCTCTCAATTTAAAGGGAAAGATCTTGCCCAAACCCTTCCTAGTTTTAGTCGGGAGAGATGGGTGGGATAATTCGTTCTTGGTCGTGGGTCAGGGCTGGAGATGTCTCAAGGCAAGCCCAGGGGCAGTTCTTCTTTCAAGTTGGGTAACTCCACCTAGGTCCTCATCACTTGGTCTGTTGTAGTAAACAAGGTCTCTTAGACCTGCTCAAGGCCAGGGAAGGGATAACTAGACTAATTTGTCTAATTTGTGTGGGAAAGGGTTCACTGTGAAAATGGGTGGGCATACAAGGACAATGCTAAATAAGGATTCAGAGGAAAGGTCATATACCTCTTATGCTTTTAATGTTAGGAAATTAAAGTTCTGTGAAAGATATTAGATTTTCACTATTAATGCTATTAAATAATCTTACTTTTAATAAAAAATAACTTTAAAGATGATGAGATGGTTCTATCTTTTGTTATACAGGCTAATAACTACATCAATTTGAACTGAATATTTCATAATCATCTTGAGCAACAAAATAATATTTATTGTTTCTTGGTCTTATTATTTCCATAATGAAATTGGCATGTGTTTTGAGGCTGAAATGAAACTTCTACCACATA